TTCTTTGTTGGGATTTTCAAAATCCAACTGTAATGGAAGGATCTTTTACTATTTTATGAGGCTATTTGTGGTATTGATGTTAGGGAACTGGTATAGACTGAGATGACCATTTTCCTGTGTGCCATGTAGAGTAAGATCTCACTGTGGGAGTGAATGTGGGTCTTTCTCAAGGGGTGGACAGTCCAGAAACCACCCCTTGGAACTGGGCCTGTTTGTAAATATGGACTTTTAAGAATTTGAGAGAACTTCAGGAGTCGTTTCTACTCTAGTGAGTTGCTTTTCTGCCTCTGTGAACCCCTGGATCGCCCAGGTGCTGGGGATCTAGTTAGAAAAAGGAATTTTCAGCCATGGCTCTTCAGTGACATTTTTTACTCTCCTTTCTGTTTCCTAGGGAGCTTTCATCCTTATTCTGGGGGGAATACTCAGTCAGAAATGAGAAGCCTACCCTGGAAAGATGGCTTGGCAGGGGTGTGAAGAATTCCATGAGGTACTGCTAGTGAAACAGCTGCCTGTGTGCTCAAGTCAAGGGGCAGTAAGAACTTGTTTCATCTGGTGTGCTTCAGGAGATACTTAGTGCCTCTTCCTTCACCATCTATGACTTCCCCTGAACATCTCATGGCAGCCTCACTATTGAAGTGTCCCTACTCTGGCCTTTAGGGCAAGAATAGGCACTACAGACTGGTCATGAACTTTCCCAAGGTGGCGGCTACTTGTATATAAACATTTATCTCTGGGAATCACCTGTTCAGCAATTTAATTCCAGTCTTTTCTTCTCTCACTAAAAGAATCTTCTCAGGAGTGGACCTAGTCTTTCAGGCCTGGAAATAAACATTTTAAAATCCAGTCTTTGAGCTAGAGGTGTGGCTCAAGTGGTAAATGCAAGGACTTGAATTCAAATCCTAGCACCACTGAAAAACAAAAAAGAAAAAAAAAATGTCAGTTCTGTTTCTGGCCTGTTTTAAGTAGAAATCTAACTAGGTTGGGAGTGCATACATTTGTTTGATCATAATCTTCTTCCTAAGAATGTCACCCTCCCTAAAAAGAAACTAAGGATCTCACCAATCCTCTGAGGTCCCCTTTGAGTCCTTTCTCTCCATGAAGCTGTCCCTGGTATCTCAGAACTCAAAGCTATTTTTCCCCCAACAATTCTTTTGGCACTGAATCAAATACATGCTTTGTGACATACTCCAAGAATTATTTTATGGTAAGTGTAATACTCAATTCACTTATTCAGCTTTGCTAATTTTGATGTATGGCAGACAGCTCTGCCTGCATGATTGAGGCTCTGGAGTATTTGCACAATGGCTTTGATTTGGGCAGATGTTTTCTATCTATCACCCATGTCAATCTGCTTTCCATGGAGGAAATTTGGCTAACCTTCAAAGGATGAAGATTATTGACTTCCCTTGGAAGCCAATGGAAGTGACATCACTATCAAAATTTTTAAAGTAAAAATGGAAGATAATTAAATGCAGCACAGTAGTTGTAAAACAGATTTCATTGTTAGGCATCCTTTCATAAAGTAAGCATAGTTGCCATTCCTCCACGTGACATTCTTTGTAGCATTTTACCACAGGTTAATCGTTCCCTGACAACTAAAGCAGGAAATATTTAGACCTCTTTGCTCTAAGAATAAGGTGAAAATTAAACATTCCCAGCTGGAAAAATTAGTGGACGAAGTAGTGTACTATCAGAATAAAGCATGTGATGTTCTAGGTATAATCAGATGAGACAAATGAGTTAACAAATCTAACAGAGTACTTTTTCCTTTAGAAAATAAATGTGTTGCTTAGCCAGTACCAGTTAAACAATGTGTATCAATAGTATTGAGTACAATGGTTTTCTTGAATCTCATATAGCCAAACAAGCCTGAAGGCAACTCATCTGGACCAATGGTGGCTTAGCATGTGATGTGACATTTGGAAATTTCTCTTACTTTTCAGTCTCTGGCCCAAGCATATGGGTGGGGACACAAGGTAGTGCCATATTTATATGGCCTTTTGACTTAAAAAATAACTCAGTTACTAATAATTTGGGGGACTAATCCTAAAATTGAGAATTTTATCTGGGGCTAGGTTGCTAACATAATTTCCAAAGGAGAAACTCTTACTGGACAAAGATCATTATGTTGACTTATTGTATTGTCTATGTATTTTGCAAAAATTGATTCAATCTCACCAGACTCTCTATTAGAGGATTAGAAGTATCACTTAACATACACTTTCCCGTTAACTAATCTAAAATATTTACCAAGTTAACTCATCAACTCACAAATTTCCTTCACTCCATAATTTCAGGTATTTGCAGGAAGCCTTCAGAAAAGTGGTAGCTTGCAGTGGTATAAAAAGGACTAGACAGTTTTCTGGAGACCTGAGTTCTCTTTTGTGGTCAACCAGTTCGGCCTTCTGTGTGCATGTTGATGGTGAGTTGGCTCACTGAAATTTGGTAATTAATGACTTTATACTTGTGAAGAGCTAAGAAGGTAATTTTACGCTGAAATAATAGCTTGTCCTTTGTTAACTCTCACTGCCCAGGAAAAAGTTCACTCACAAGACTCTTGTTCATTTTAACAAGAAGACTCTCCTGCAAATTACATGAAATCTTTCTCTGTTGGGTCACAGGTGGCTTACCATTCTTTTTCAGTTTTCAAATAAAGTGAATCTTGGGTTTTCTTATCTTTCAACAAGTGAAGACAAACTAGGTTGTACATGAGAGAATGTTTACAACTTGAGAAAAGCACCAATTCAACTCTCAGCCCGTGTAGTCTAAAGTGCCTCTTTGCGGGACAAAATCACCACCAACTGTGCACCTGCTCCCTGGAGAAGGGGCCAGGCCTCAGAAGGTGCCACAGGGGAACTGATTCAATAAAATCATTTGTAAGCCAGAAGTGGCTTTGTTTCCTCCTTCTAACAGGGGCATGTTTGTTGCTATGCCAATTACTCCTACAGGGGAGAGAACGTATGAAGGAACTTGAACAGGATAGAGTAAAACGGCTAAACACATGCATGATGCATGACCACTTAGGTGTTATCCAACAAAGCCAGTACTGGCACAGCTGTTCTCCATACTGTCAGAGAGCAGCAGAGAAAATACACAGACACATTTCTCCTCCTTTCCCCTAACAGTTTGATCTTTTCCTTTAAGTCAGAACAAACAACAGTATAGTAAGAGTAGAATTTGACCAATAATAACCAAGATAGGGAAGCTGTTGAGTCTGGCTAATACTGGCTGCAATTATGAGTTGATGGAACTCAGCCTCATTGACAAGATTTAGAAGAGGCCGGGAAATATCTGGAACTGTAAGGGAAAGTCACAGGGTAAAGACATATAATTGGAAATGACAGATAGCACTCATTGCTCCAGAGGAACCTGTTTTCTCTTCTACCTGGTTAGTCATCCTAAGTGTATTTCATGTACAGTTCAAAGGTGATATCTGATTCTCAGGTGATAGAAGGGCAAGAACTCCAAACCCAGGAAAGAACCACTGAAGTCATTTCAGGGATACAGCTCAAGAAGAAATGGAAGTTTGTGAGAAGGGGCTGGTAGTTATTGTGTGCAAGTGTTTTCTTTGGGAGGGGGCCTGTGCTTGAGAAAAAGGCAGGAATCTGCGTGTATTTTTCCTGTTCCTGTTTCCTTAGCCAACACCCTTAGGGCATCATGTGCTCCTCCATACAAGGGAAGGGCTCTTCTTACCCTCTCTGTAGCCTTCTTAATCTTGTCTACATGGCACCTCATGCATGGACAAATCCTGATCCTGCAGGATGAGTCTGAGTGTACATGAGGGTGTTGTAGTGGGCATTAAAGGGAGGAGATGCACAGAAATGAGCACTGAGGTTGATATAGAAAAACTCTAACCTCCTAAGTTCATTTCTCCTGAATTTGAGGGCCATGGCTTCTAGACTCTTAAGTGAGTAGTCAAAGGTACAAAGTAGACAGAATCATCTCTTATCTTCTTTTAAAGGCTTCAGTAGATTTTAAAGAATTTTTCTAGCTAGACTAAAAGTGTTCTCTTGTGTTGTTTATTACTATAAACGAGCAGTTCATTTTAACATTTACTCTTTATTGTGTGGTATGAAGTACCTAGGAAATGCAGGTATGTACTGTACTAAAATACCCATTATTTCCAAATAACATTATGGGGTGTAGCCCACAGTCTCTGCAGAAGCATCGGGAGTAATCTGTGCCTTTACACTTTACAGTCCATTGTGGCTGCTGTTAGAAGTATGATAATACATCTTGAAAAAAATAATAAAGCTAATAATGAATATACTTTTCCAAATACACACATACACAGCTTACAAGGGAGGCCCAATGGAAGCAAGTCAAATGACATTTGATGTATTATCTATAAAATGTAGACTCTGCAATAAAAAGCCAAAGGCACATAAAAATATATTTTAACTTTAAAAATAACTTAGTTACAGTAATACCTTGCTTGTGTCTTAACCAACATGTAGCTGACAGTCAAAATTTTGCAATATAGATATAATATACAGGGATATATAAGAACTACAAGAAAATCCCCAAGTCCCATAAAGTTGCTCAAATGTGAAAACAGAGAAAGTTTTAACACTGGAGAATTCGCTATGGTGAATCCAAACAACATAATATACAAAAGAGTCTAGAAAAAAGGCTTAGGTGTTAAATAAATTTTGATTTTCTCTTGCTCAGAAAATGCCGGAGTACTGTAAAGCTCCTTAAGTGAGACTTGCCCAGCCCTTCAAGCCAGTGCCAATTCCTGGCCAAGCCACATTTCGTACGTGTCTACAAACAAAAATGTGAGCTCAATGTCAGCACTGCAGTCCGCAAACGGGCTCTGACTCACTTCCTCTTTTGGCCAGGACAGGTTTGGTGTTGTTGTTTTCTAAACTGTTTTTCCCAACAGGGCATGATGGGTAAAAAAATACTTTGTAGGATCAGGAACATTATTTTAGAAAATGCATCAAACAACTGCAAAAAACAGCCAGGGAAGTGCTTGGCTTCAACTATGGTTAGTTGAGTTTCTGCTTTTTTCTTTTGGTACCATTGACCCCCAAATGAAAAAACTGGCATCCTGTTACTTATTTTTATCCATGACATTCAGCACCTCATCCAAAAACGAGGGCCCAAGATCGAGCTGTAGAGAGAAGAGGGAGCCTGTCAGGTCAGAGAGGGACTCCTGGGATTTAGTCTTTTCCTTGATAAGCTCACATGGGGCAGGATGGTCAAACATGTCCTCCGCTGGCCAGTCGGAGTACTGTTCCGACAGGCTGGAGGAGTGGCTGTCCCTGCCCTGGCTGGACTGAGATGCCGAGCCACTGGAGGCCCATGAGGTGTCTCCCTGGTGGATTGTCCCATTCTCCAGCAAACTGGTTTTCTCCTGAGCTTTTTCTTCCATGACGGGCTCACAGCTGAGCCTGGGGAGTTTGGGCTGCCCAAAGGATTCCTGTTTAGAATTAAATGTCACTGGTGACAATAAGGGCAGCATGAGAGCTTGGGACCCTCCGATGGTGGGGAGGGAGATGGCGTTTTTGAGCACAGGGGAGGGTGTTTCTATGAACATGGAGTCCGAGGTGCTGTTGGCCCTGAAGAACTCGCTATGCCCAGGGAACTGGCCCGAGTGTGCCTTCTCCTGGTTTCCTGGCAAAAGCTCGTAATTCCCTTGAAGGAAGGAAATGTCTCCGAAGACATCGTGCTGGCCCTCTTTGCCGATGTGGATAGTGTGACGGAAGTCCCCCAGGGGAGGACTGATCATATCGGGAGACAGGATGTCCCTCAGTTTAAACTTCTTTCCCTTCTTGTTGTTGGCAGCTTTCAGGTAAATTGGGGTTTTGGCTGGCATTTTGGAATCTGAGAATGTCTAGTTCACCAGAATGGAGAAGGGCCACTTTCTTCACAGATACCAAGTGTTTCTGAAAAATTCTTTTTGATAGGAACTGTCACATCATTTCTGTCAAGTGGCTCTGAACTGAGATGGGATCTAAGAGACCTTGTTGAGCTTCCGGCCACACGGGCTTCCTGGAGATCTGATTACATCATCCACTTCCTTCCACAACAAGGAAAAACCTGGAGAAGAAACCAAAGCAGGTTATAATCCGTTGATCCTTCAGGGTTTGATCCCACCTGCCTTTTCACAAAAACCTGTGAATAATAGCAGGCCACTCCCTGCTAGAGCACAATTTTATCCTGTTTCTATCCCTTAGCAGGATAAAAACTTCAACCTTTAAATTTTTTTTTGGCAGCACTAAGATTTGAACTCAGGGCCTTGCACTGGCTAGGCAAGCACTCTGATACTTGAGCCACACTTTCAAACCTTTTTGCTTTAGGTTATTTTTTAGATAGGGGCTTGCTTTTTGTCCCACCCAGCCTGGGACCTATCATCCTCCTACCTATGCTGCCCAAACATAGCAGGTATTACAGACATATAACACCACTCCTGGCTCATCCGTTGAGATAGAATCTCATTAACTTTTTGCCCCAACTGGCCTCAAACCATAATCTTCCTGATCTCTCCCTCCCAAGTGGCTGGTATTACTGTTGTGAGCCACTGGGCCTAACTGAAAACTTTAATCTTAATAAGGGTTCATTAGTCTTAGTTTTAATTCAGGAGAACACAGAAAAAAAAAAAAAAAACAGAGAGGGACTGAGAGAGATGGACTTAAAATCCTTAAACCTATGACATGACTACTTTTTAAACATGGCCATTATTCTCTCATTGTGTCTTAGATTTTAGTCCTCTCCTAGTCTAAAAACTGTTGTCAGTATACGACCAACTGAACTTGTTTTAAAATATGTTTTTTCTTTGGCATTGGTGTGTACACTAGCAAGACTGACAGTAGTTTTTTTTTGTTGTTGAGTTCTATGTATAAGTAAAATTAATGCAATTAAATGAACAATTCCATAAAGAAAGGGACTAGAAATATTATTTACTAAGTAACAGTGACTATTACATAAGCATCCAACAAAATCTCAGCAGAAGAATGCTTGCTTTAGATGTGAAAAGAGAGATTGAGGGTCAAAAGAAAAAAAAAAACCCCCTTTCTCAATAACACACATCCAGACAACAGAGCTAGAGGTGGAACTGAGTTACGGTACAGAGGACTGGGCTGGCAAGGACTACAGGATTTGGAGGTATTCTGAGATGAAAAAAAAAAAAAAACAAAAGTGCTGCATTTCAAAGAAAAAACACTGTGATCGGATAAAATAGGCTGGGCCTTAACTTGGGAATATTCAGAAACTTATTGATGAGGCTTGTTTTGTGACCTCTCCTTGCTGTAGGGTGTGATTCTAAAGTAACCCTATGATCCTCTCTTGGTGTTAAAGCTTTGTGGATAGAAGATCTGACCTGCCTCTACTTAAAACAGTATGACAAAGGTGACAGACATGTCACTCTCTGACTAGGATCCCTTACAGAAGACCCCAGGAGAGAGGCAGAGAGAGGACATGGAGAAGAAGAAGGGAGGGGGAGAGAGAGGGGCAGGGGGAAGGGGAGAAGGAGGGGCAGAGGGAGAGATCTCCCCCTTGCCAGCTTTGAGGACCCAAGTTGTCATTCTGTAAGAGGGCCTATGGAAATGAATTCTGCCATGGATGTCAGGGAGCTTGGCAGTGACTCTTGCCCCTGTTGGGCCTCTAATGAGACTCAGCCCTTTGAACATGCCTTAGATCATAGACCAGTGAGACCCCGGCTCTAAGCCATACTCAAACTTCTGACCCACCGAAACCATGAGATAATAAATAGGTGTTGATGTAAGCCACTAAGTTTGTGGTAATTTCTCACTAGCATAGAAAACTAACACATCCTCCCTGCACATACTGTATGATAAGATGAGCAGTGAGGAGCAGCTGGAAGAAAGCTTCAGTGATGTCATGCCCTCGTTCCGCAGATGATAACCTCGACCTCCCGAACATAATCCCCCAGGTCTTCAGTTGCACCAGCTGACACACTGAAGCTAAAATCATCCCCTTGCTGTACCTTCTGCCCTCCTCCCCGGCCACAGAGCCTGGCAACAAACAAACCAAGGGCTGGGGTAGATGATGGCTGAAAAGATCCATGTTTGCTTTGTAGCAGCTACAGGCTGTCTGCACCTGCCCTGTATTTCTTTTCTTTCAGCAGGAGTTTAAAATACACTTATCAGTGATAAGTGACAAGGACTATGTTCTACCACCCACTGGCAAAGGTAACAGAAGCCTGACCAGCATGCATTGCGTCATGCTCTCCAGCCACTCAGGTCTGAGAAGGTGAAGAATGGGTCAAGACACCCAGCCCCACTCAAGCTTTGGTGTGGAGAGGAGGCCCAGGCAGCAGGTTCACTCCTGCTCATGGGGGCTGACATGGGACTGTAAAACACAACAGGATTGTGGGTTCTGATATCCTCTCTTAGTTTTAACTCTGATTTGGGTCTTATCCCAGTAACAGAAGTTGAAACCTTGGGACTTCCTGCTAAAACATCAACACTTCCTTTGTATAAGTACACAACACACAGTCCCAGTCTAGGGCCCTGCCACTGCCTTCCTGCTTCTCTGGGCACAGGAATGACGACTGCCTGCTAGAGTTGGTAGGGTGCTAAGGCCACAGGAGGTGGTAGAAGCCCTGAGGAACAGCTGCTCACTGGAGCGGAGCCATTGGTACACAGGGCCAGACTGGCATCTGTGTGGAAAGATATTACAAGTCAGGGGCACATGAGGGCTGCCTGTGTCAGCTGGTGAAGTGGGGCTACACGAGACCACGTGGCAGGGCATTCCAAATTATTCTTCCCAAAGCCCCGTGAAGATTTAGCCAGACAGTGTTCTCACAGACCAGGTCACTCACATCCACCCTATAGCCAAACAAGGATCTGGGGAAGTGAGGAAGAGGAAGGAGAGGAAACATTTGCTCCTCTCTAAGACAGGAGTGTCAGTCCCCAGGCAAGAGCTCCATGGGCCTATAGCCAGAGGCTCTCCCAGCCTGGGAAAAGGGGGTTTTGTATCAGTGGCATAGAGACAGAGGTTGGCGGGAAGTGGCCAAAAATAAAGCCAAAAGTAAGAAAAGGACTGGTGATGAGGCTAGATAAGGTGTGGAGTGAGATTCTGACAACCTTTTCTTTCTTTCTTCGAATGTTTACATGGTGTTACTGCCTGACAGGGATGCAGGCTTCTGGAACTTAGAGATAATGATTAAGTGCCAGTCCTAAGAGTTCCCCAGTACATTGGAAATTCAAAATAAATAAATAAATAAAAGGAAGGAATTTTAAGCAAAATGTAATTTTTTACAACTGTAGATGAGTTGTGTGTGAGAGGCTGGGAAGCTCCTGGCAGCCCTGGGCCCTCTATCTTATGCTATCTGTCGTCATCCTGCTCAGGCAACTGGCCTGATGCTAGGAGAAGTGACCCAATGCCCCATGCTGAGGTCTTCTCACACAGACCACTTCCTCCTCTCCTTGAATCTCCTGGGCTTCTGACTTATCAGCCAGTGGATGTCTCTGGAGCTTTTATGGGATCCCCCTTTTCCTTTCCAGGCGGAATGTTCTTTCAATATCATCTCTGCCATTGCTTATGCAGACACCTAAGAGGGTGGGTAGTGCCTTCATTGCTAAGAAGAGGCTGGTCCTCTCCTGGGAGCCAGAGGTGGGCGCCCTCATGAGACGGTCACTGTTTACTGAGGGCTTCTCTCTATGCTAGCACTGTTCCAACTTTAGACATGTACTCGCGCATTCACAAAGAACCCATGAGACTGCTGTTGATATGTTAATATCCCCAATTACAATTGAGGCACTACTGAGGCACAGGCATTGAGTCACCCTGCCAAGACCACATATTACCAAGCATTAAGCCAGGAGGTTGGGCCCTTGGAGTCTGAGGTCATGGCATATCATTTGGTGAGTACCCTCCCTGGGAATTTAGTTAGCTCCAAAATTACGAAGCGGGTACATTTCAGAGCCTGTTTAAGACAGAAAGGTGTGGCAGCGCACTGGGATGATGAAGATGGGGAAACAGGCTCTGGGTGCACTGACAGTGGAAGTGTGAACAGGCCCAACCCCAGTGAAGGCAGATGGAGAGTGTCTTTCAGATGTACAAACCATGTTGTTCTTTTCAGAGTCCATGTACAGGGATTTACTCCACTTACATAGGTGGGAAAATGTATAAGGTATACAAACGAGCACAGCCCAGAGTTGGAAACAACTGAATTGTCTACCTATGGAGGACTGATTAAATAAATTAAGGTGCACCCATACAAATGAATACTGTGTACATCTACAGAAGGATGAAGCTTTTAATACGGCCTCATGGAAAGAGCCCAACTATCTGCAACTTCAAAAAGGAACAAGACACGTGCAAAAGTTTGTGGATATAGTTGGACTGACTTGTATAGCTATAAAATATTTCTGGAAGCATATATAAAGAATAAATAGTGGTGACTCTCCTTTGAGAGGGGAAATGAACAGACAGGGATAAGGGTGAAAAAGACTTTTCACCATACATCTTTTCATGATTTTGGATTCTCAAATCATGTGGATGAATTGGCTATTTAAGACAATAAAAAAAAATAAATAAATGCCTAGGGCTCATGTCCCATTCTTAGAGAGTCACTTTCACACACAGTACTTAGGTCCTACAAAGCCTAAGGAATCTATGAACTTACTAATCATAACATGGATATTTCTAAGGGAAAATGTATTCAGAGCAAAGTCTGGATGATGGTCTGTGGAAATACAAAGACTCACAAAATCTGCACATACTCTTTACCAGAGTGTGGCAAGAGGACAGGTCACTTCTAACTGTGATCAGACATTCACCAAAGATGCAGCATCAATTTGTACTCTGCAAAATGGAGAAGGTCTCAGAAAAGAAGTGCTTTCATTTGGAAGGAAAATGAGAACAGGTAAGACACAAGAGAGCACGAGGATGCTGGGTAGAGGAAGGGCAGGGCTTCCATGTCCGGGCACACAGCAGGTGGAGCTACCCAGGCTCAGGCTCCTTGCTTGTGAAGTGGCCAGTGACACAGACATAATATTTTATAGTGGAACGGTCCTGAATGCCTAGACATGAAGTCTTGTCCCTCCTCATCATTTTAAGAAAAGGAGACTTGG